AGGGAGGGATAGGAAGGGAGGGAGGGAGGGGGAGAGGGAGAGAGTGTGAGACAGAGGGGGGAGAGGGAGGGAGAGAGTGAGGGAGAGGGAGAAGGAATAGAGTGAGAGAGGGAGAGGGAGATAAAGTGAGAGAGGGAGAGGGAGATGCCAAGTACGAGGCGGTCCGATAAGTACTTAGCCTCACCGCCCGATGGCGCCACTATCGCAAGAGAAATTTACTATCGTGTAGTACATTCTCGTAGACGGCTACTGTCGAAATTTCAGCCGAATCGGACTCGTAGTTTTGTTGTGACCGCGTGTGGAAGCGGGCGTGTCCGCGGATTTTAAAAAAATGGAAAAAGAGCAATATCGGTCGGTGATTCGATTCTTGTTTTTGGAAGGGAAATCGCGCAGCGAAATCAAAGAGCGCTTGGATGCTGTGTATGGTGACTCTTCTCCTTCGATGGCGACCGTCAAAAATTTAACGAGTTTCAACGTGGTCGCACGTCGGTTTTCGATGAGCCACGCCCAGGTGCCCCGAAAACGGCTACCACGGAGGATAACATGACAAAAATCCACGATCTCGTATTGGCAGACCGCCGATTGAAGGTGCGCGAGATAGCTGAGACAGTAGGCATCTCAAAAGACCGCGTGGGTCATATCCTGCATGAAATTTTGGGCATGAGAAAGCTGTCGGCGCGATGGGTGCCGCGTTTACTCACTCCGGACAATAAGCGCAACCGTGAGGCCACTTCAGAGCAGTGTTTGACGCTGTTTAAGCGCAATCCGAAGGAGTTTTTGCGTCATTTCGTGACCGCCGACGAAACATGGATCCATTGCTACACACCAGAGACCAAGAAACAATCGAAACAGTGGACTTCACCCGGCGAACGTGCTCCGAAGAAGGCGAAGACTGTCCTATCGGCTGGAAAGGTGATGACCACCGTTTTCTGGGATTCACAAGGTGTGATCTACATCGACTACCTCGAGGAGGGCAAAACGGTCACAGGGCTGTACTATGCCGAATTATTGGGCCGATTCGACGCCGAATTGCAGAAAAAACGGCTCCATTTGGCGAAGAAAAAAGTGCTCTTCCACCATGACAACACACCGGCTCACACCTTCGCCCTCGCCACGGTCAAATTGGTCGAATTGGGCTACGAACTGCTTCCCCATCCACCGTATTCTCCAGATTTGGCCCCGTGCGACTTCTTTTTGTTTCCAAACTTGAAAAAGTCACTCGCCGGGCAGAAATTTGAGTCGAATGAGGAGGTCATCGTCGCCACGGAGGCCTACTTTGCAGACTTCGAGAAAACGTATTTTTCAGACGGGTTAAAGAAGTTGGAGCATCGCTGGATCAAGTGTATCGAGCTAAAAGGAAACTATGTTGAGAAATAAATCGCTACATTTCCAAAATTTTCGTTTTTCTTTTGTAGGCTAAGTACTTATCGGACCACCCTCGTATATGAAAGTAAAACAAAAAATATAATATATAAGATTGATAAAAATCTAAACATGAATATAATAAACATGAATGTATGATATGTAATGTCGCGATGCTATTAGGTTTCATTAAAGTTTTTATGTTAATCGCACATTCGTTTAAAATATCAGTAATTAAATCTATGTTAGCTATATTGACATGTTATACATATGTATAATATGTATTATATGTATTATGTATAGTATGTATTACACATATGTATAATATGTCAATATAAATTCACATGCATACCTTTCTCGTCTGTTATATTAAATACACTTAAAAATAATGTGATGTGGAATATATTGGGTGAGTGCAAAAGTTCGTGCGGAGTTTGTGAGTAAAAGTCACACAGTGATTAGGCAAACAAAAATCTTTATTCAATCAATGATATATTCTCCATCGTTTTCTATAATCTTTTCCCAACGTTCTGGCAGCATACGGATGCCTCGATCATAAAAACTGCGCGGTTTAGATTCGAAGAACGAAGAGACGCCGTTTTTTAAGGCCTCCAAAGAGTCAAAGTTTTTCCATTTAAATAATTTTGCAGTGACCGGAACAAGTGATAGTCAGATGGTGCGATATCAGGAGAATACGGTGGATGCGTTAAGACATCCCATTTCAGGCTCTTCAGTTTGCGCAGCGTCTTTTTCGAAACGTGTGGTCTGGCGTTGTCGTGATGAAAGACGACTCCCTTGCGATTTGACAAAATCGGACGTTTCACTTTTATTTCTCGATTCAGATTGGTTAATTGGCGACAGTACTTGTCCGAATCAATCGTTTCGCCAGCGGGGAGAAGCTCGAAATAGATTATGCCCTTGCAATCCCACCAAACAGAGAGCATCACCTTCATCGGGTGCAAACTGGCCTTTGGCATTGCGTCACCATGCTCACCTGATTGTTTCCATGTCCGTTTGCGCTGAACATTGTTGTACAGGACCCATTTCTCATCGCCCGTCACTAGTCGATCCAAAAACGACTCGTTATTGAGCCGCCCGAGTAAAGAAACGGCTGCAGAAATTCGCTTGATTTTGTTCTTCTCGGTCAGCAAATGGGGCACCCATATATCGAGCTTCAAATCGAATCCCATCTTTTTTAAACGCCGAAAAGCGATTGATCGGTCAACGTTTAGTGATTTAGCAACTTCTTCTGTTGAAATTCGCGGATTATTGAGCACTAAAGTACGCAAAACATCGTCATCAATGTCAGAAGGTCGACCAGAGCGTGGCTCGTCTTCAAGGTTAAATTCTCCGCGCCGAAATTTAGCAAACTATTTTTCTACAGTTCGTTTAGCTGGTGCTTCATCCTGATAAACATCCTGAATGTTTTTTACGGCTGCGGCAACGTTTATTCCCTTCCGAAACTCGTAAAGTATAACATGCCGTAAATGCACCTTATCGATACTCATTTTTAAAGTGATATTTCTCGAAGCAGTTTGTATGAAAACAAATGATTTTTTTTTTAATAACAGCTGAAGACGTCACCTTTCCAACGTTATATAATATGTAGATGGAAGTATTAATGACAACACTTTACGACGCTTATAACTCCATCTATTGAAACTCCGCATGAACTTTTGCACTCACCCAATACCACTTTTTCTTCCGACAAATAATTAGCGAGATATCGTAAGTTAAATAATGAAAAAGTTATCAGGTTTTCCTCAAATATCTCAAAAAATATTAGACAAATAAAAAATGTTTTAGACAAAAGTTGTTCAAATTAACTAGTAGAAAAAACAGTGTAATATAAAATAAGGGTTCCCATTTAAAAACCGCAAGTTTATCTTCAAATGACCTTGAAAATAGAGGTCAAGGTCAAAGTCAAGGTCATCATAAGATAGCTCACTTAAATCCCTACAACTTTTGTTGAAATAATTTTCCTTGGCACTTCAATACTGGAGAGTTATTAGGATGGTCTGTTACTTTTGGAACACTCTGTATAATGGGTTGGCAAATAAGTTCGTTCGGTTTCTGTTTAAGTGTAAGTTTCATGCGGATTCGCTTTTCTTTTCTCAGCGCTATCGTGCAAATCGAATACACATTGGAAAGGTTATGTTTCACTGTTTATGTTGTGCTGTGTTTGGTTTGGTTAACATCAGTATTGTAAGTGCTCCGTAGCTGTGAATATGGAAATAAATAACGTGCATTATTATCACATTTCGCTCTATTATTTTGAAAAAGGCAAACGAGCTGCGGATGCTCATGAAAAGATATGCCGTGTATGGAGATGATGCCTTAACAGAACACGTATTCCAAATGTGGTATACCAATTTCTGTTCTGTAGATTTCGACGTTAATGATGCGCCCCGCTCCGATCACCCGACTGAGATTATTTCAAGTGACATTAAGGCTATAATCGAAGTAAATCCATCCCAATCGGTACGAGAGATTGCTACGACATTGAATATATCCCACACAAGCGTAGAAAAGCATTTGCGCCAGTTGGGATATATTTCTCGGCTTAATGTTTAGGTGCCGCATCAATTAACCGAAACTAACTTGACCACACGATATCCATCTGCGATTCGCTGCGAAAACGCAAAGAAAACGACCCATTTTTTAAATGAATGGTGACGAGTAACGAAAAATGGGTCGTCTACGATAATGTAACGCGTAAAAAATCATAGGGGCACAGCAGCGGGCCACTGCAAACAACCTCGAAGGCGGGACTGCATCTGAAGAAAATAATCCTCTCCGTATGGTGGGATTTCAAGGATGTCATCTATTACGAACTGTTACTGTCAGGCAAAACGATTGATTCAACTGTATACTGTTCGCAATTGACGAAATTGAACCAAATAATCCGCACAAAACGTGCAGAATTGGCAAATCGCAAGGGTGTCGTCTTCTATCACGACAACGCCAGACCTCATACATCATTGATCACTTTGAACACATTGACCACATTGACCACATTGACCACATTGAACAAATTGTTTCAGCTTGGCTGGGATGTTTTGCCTCATCCTCCATATTCACCGGATCTTGCCCCTTCCGACTATCATTTATTCCGGTCGCTGCAGAACTCTATGAACAGAAAATCCTTCAAGGATGAAGAGGTCGTTAAAAAACATATGGATTGGTTTTTCGCCGATAAGCCCCAGACGTTTTACGAATGCGGCACAATGAAGTTGGTGGAAAGAAGTCATCGATAAAGATGGCCAATATATAATTGATTAAAATTTATCTTGTGTATTATAAAGTTGTGTTTTATTCTACTCTAGAAAACCGAACGAACTTATTTGCCAACCCAATATCAGTATGTTATTGAGAGTTAAAGAAATTCTGACTAGTCTATTTTTTGGGCATATAAAATTAAAAACGATGACTTCTTAAGAAACCATCATGAAATCATATCTTGTTGGATATAAAATGAAATTAATTAAAATGTTATAAAATTATAGTGTGAAGTAATAGTATATGAACGTATACGAGGTGTGGCTATAAAATAACGAGACTATTGCTGCAAAACATTTTATTTTAAATTTATACATTTTTTGTTATTATCACCTTCAATATACACCCCTCCTCTATCTCTACAACGCTCCATGCGAATTTTCCATTGTTCGAAATATTGCTGGAAGTCCCTCTTTTGTGAGCTCCTTCATAACGCGTGCCGCTTTTTCTTTCACAGCGGAGTCTTCAACGGACTGAAATCTTGTTCCTTTTAATGCAGATTTGACCTTGGGAAACAGATAAAAGTCGCATGGTGCAAGATCTGGAGAATAGGGCGGATAGTCTAACACTGGGATGTTGTACTTGACTAGAAACGTCTTGACAGACAATGCAAAATGAGCTGGCGCGTTGTCTTGATGGAGAACCCATGACTTGTTTTTCCACAATTCGGGTCGTTCTTTTCTTATTCTTTCACGGAGTTGAACAAGAACCTCAAGGTAGTAATGTTGATTAATAGTTTGACCTTCTGGAACTCAGTGAAGGTACACAATCCCATGAATATCGAAAGAAACAATCATCATCGCTTTGAATCTTGATTTGCTCATTCGAGCTTTTTTAGCTCTCGGTGAAGTTGGGCCCTTCCAATGTATGGATTGGCGCTTAGTTTCAGGATCATAAGTGAAAAACCAAGATTCGTCACATGTTATCATTCTTTCCAAGTTCGGGTCATTTTTAACGGCATTCAAAGTATCAGTACAAACATTTTCGCGAGCTTCTTTTTGTTCAATCGTGAGAATTTTAGGTACCATTTTGGCACACACTTTTTGCATGTTAAAATTGTTATATAAAATTTGCCTTACGCATTCTTTTTCAATTCCTACAGTTTCGGCAATCGAATAGTTAACCGACGGTCAGATTGAATCAGATTACCGGCTTTTTCAATATTTTCATCCGTTTTTGACGTGGAAGGGCGATCTAGGCGTGAATGATCTTCTCGGCTATCTTGGAAACGCTTAAACCACTCAAAAACTCGCGCATGTGATAAACATTCATTGCCATACACTTCTTTTAATAAAAGATAAGTTTCAGTAGCGCTTTTTCCAAGTTTCATGTGAAATTTCACGACGATTCGTTGCTCTATTTTTACACTTATCATTTTTCCGGCAAAACAAAACACCAGCTCTTATACAAACGAAGGCCACGGCCAGACTAATTTGTTTACAGGCACGGGAGGCGCCGCATTCGAAAGAGAAGGCTTCACGCTACACAGCTGTCGGTCGTTCGCGTTTGGCGCATGCGTACTCCTTCTGTGGAAGCATCAGTCTCGTTATTTTATAACCACACCTCGTATGTGTGTATGACAAGTGATATATGACGAGAAGATGCGACCGCTCCTAGTGACTAGGAAGCGGGCAAAGTCACGACGATCTGTCCGTCACCTTCCACCTATGCACCAAAATTTTCACGAACGAATATTGGGCGCAAGGCACGAGTATCGTGCCCACCAACACTAATTAGGCGGCGGCGAGTCGACGCGATCGCCTACGAACTCGACAGCTCCTGCACTTTTAAGTCGGAGTTGGGGTGGGTCTCTTGTGGGGATTAGAAGGGGAACCCGGCGGGTAATTAAATTAGTCGACACGCACGATGTGGAACAAATAGTAATCCGAGTGTATTTTCGTTACTTTGATCGGTAATACAAATGTTTTGACTCCTGACGGAGAAGCGACAGCGATCTCGATAGGTCTGCGCGACCTGCGACCCGCGATTCCAATAGCGATAAGCCCCCGCTCGTTGAGAGAGAGAAACACTCTGCTCCCCGTGTTCCGCGGAAAGACCGACAGACGGCTTCGGTGACCGATCTACAACCCAAATTTTCACACAAAGTCCGACAGCCGCTGACTAGTCCCACCGCGCAAATGGTTCGCACGAACAAACGGAGTCGTACAGAGTGATACTCTTACAATTTTCGCCCGCTGGCGGCAGCCTCCTTCCGGACAGTCGCTCCTCCGCTCGTCCGCTCCGCTCGCTCCTCTCCTCGCTTCCGGCGCTCTCTCGATAGCTCTCTCTCTCTCTCTCTCTCTCTCTGGCCTGCGCTCGCTCGATCTCTCTCTCTCTCTGCCTGCCTCGCTCGCTCTCGCTACCTCTCTCCGGGATCCGCACGCGCACGATGCACTGCACGCCCGTGCACCTACGACACCAAACCAAAATACGATAGCTCCCTAGAAGCTCGCGAGATCTTTCTCGACAACAATTTTTAGTTCGCTCTCTGTTCGCGTCTTCACCAGAAGTGTTCTTCGTTCGCCCCGGCCGAAGATACGTGGCCCCGGTGGATCCTTCTCCGCTCCAATTTTTTTTCTCCTTGATCACGCGATGGCAAGATGCTACTCGGAATAATTCTTTCTCTCGCCGAGCATCTTCTGCGTGATCAAAAGTTCCTCACTATCAGGTGTCGTGCCCCGGTTTGTTTTGTAGGCTACGACAATACACAAAAATACAGCGACAGCGGTGCGACATCAACGGCACAATCGTTCGGAAACAAAATTAGAAGCGGCCAATGACATCACCTGAGATCTCTTAGTGCTCGCGGCGGCTCCTCGAGGCCTTCCTCCTTTCCCCTCGGTCTCCCTTCTCTGGTCCGCCGCTCCTGCTGGTCGGAGGCTACCCACAGCGAAGGGGCACACACTTCTATGGGCGTGGGAGTATCACCAAAAAAAACAGCAATCTCGCACTCGTCGGTACGAGATCGCTCGCCACCAAAATATCCGCGATTATTTCTCGAAATTACGCAGCTCGCCTCGCGATTGCAGCCGAGCGCGACAGCCGGGGGACCCCCTCGGAGGCCCTCCGCCTCTTGTGACGGGCGACCTTGAAATCGCCATGTCACAAAGACAATCAATTAACGATATCAATTTTTATTTTACTATTGTTAGTTTTATTATTATTATTAGTTTTTTTGTTACTTTTATCATTAATTTTTGTACATCAATATACTAGCAATATGGAACTGAATATTTTACATATCCATTGTATAAGTTTTTTCTTCACAATCAATTCCATTTGTTCATCATCAATATCTTATAACTATTTTTGAAATATTATAATTTTTGTCTGGCAATATTTTTTGAATCATACATTTCTTCGGAGACATTTATAACGTTTTATATATTTTACCTTGTGCATATGAGTCTTACGCGCATATATTTTACATATATGAATATTAGGCTAAGATTATCTCGAAAAGCGATGCTCTTTTAATGTGCATAATGATCTCAGGGATTGATTTATTAAAAAATAGATAATATGCTTCTAATTATGAAACTAATTATAGTTGACGTAAGAATAATCTAGCAAAAGAAATTTATATGCTTTACTTTATATACATTCTTCACATGGTAACTATAAGATAATTATTTAATTTAAACAAACAAAGCTGTGAAATCGTTAATAGTAAGACTTTGTAAAATATAAAATAATATATCATGTACATAAATCGTGTAAAATTGTATGCAATGAACTATCTAAAAATTATGATTATTTTATGTATATGCTGAATCAACTTGTAGAATAAATAATAGACTATGTGTTACTGTGTCAGAATGACAGACTCGAAATCGATGAACACGTTGTGGACAGAGTTCTCTCTCTCTGTCTCTCTCCCTCACGAGATAAGCGAATTATCAGCTCTCACTAACCTAATTAAGAATGTCTTTCCTACGTTGCATGGCTGTAATCATGCTAACAAATCCTGGTAGTAACTCGTTAACGAAGGATCATCCATGGGGCAGATGCCCGACGAGATTCGAAACCCGTGAAAGTCACATACGCGCACAGAACGTTATTGCAGGATTAAAGTCTGGCATTAAATGTTCTCGCTTCAGGCACAAACGCTGGACGATATTCTGCTGAACAAACTCCATCGCAGTTCGCCAACTCAGGTTGTTGTCCGCGAATTTGTGTATCTCCGAATTGCGGTAGTTAGGTAGATGCACAAAAGAATACTCGAGTTCCACCGTATACGTATCCTTCAGAGAATCCTGCGCCAGAAGTTGAAATTCCAAACGCACATCTCAAACAACAAAGTTGTTGCATAAATATCTTACATGGAAAATTCCTTGGGATTTAATTAGGATTTCGTCTGATTTCCCAAGATCTATGCAGACTCTATTATCCATCAAAATTTCTTAAACATTTTCAAGTATAGCATAAATTTTGATCAGGATATTCAAATTTGTTGCAAGTATAATATTTGGTACATAATACTTGCATATAAAGAAGCCTATTTTTATCCTAACTATAGAAAATTTCTTGAGGTCTTTTTGGGATTTATTTTAATTTTACATAAGGGAAGTTATGATTCTAAATGGGAATCTCAAACAGGTTTCATTTACTTTATTTAACGTTTTCTTAAACTTTTTTTCAACTTTTATTTCCTATTTTCTATTTATTTTCTATTTTATTCCACATTTTATATTTACGGTTATTCTCTTCACATCCAGCATAATTTATATTAATGATATTAACCGTAAGAATAAATTATTATAACTTGAAAATAAGTCATAATAATTATGGTAAAAACTTGATTAATATTATTAATATATTCATATTTATTTTTCATTTTTTGACTTGTACATTTATATAATTATTATTAACCGTGTTATTTAAATATGTATTTTATTACATCAGTATTTAATAAAATTTCCTTATTTTCTAGAAAATAAAGGTTATTTTTATATTTAATGCTTTATAAATTAATTAACACTTACTTTCAGGATACTACCAAAATCGGTAAAATTGTATTTTACTTTTCTTTTCAGCTTAATCCAATCTACCTTCACCAACACTTCAACTTGGCAACTAATTACCGAACATCCTGTATAACAGGACGATTTTTAAAATGTTCTCACAGGTTACCAGTAATATAATTATGATTTTTGTATTAGGTGCGCAACTAAGTTCCCGCTGTTTTTCAAAAGATGGCTCCAGTAGTAAGTGCTGGTCGATTGTGACATAACCAAAACGTCATGAACCAAGCTTAGACATATGGTAAACAAACCGTTTTGACACATTAGTGATTTTGTTTTTGCGTCATATACTTTTGGTTGTGTGAGAATGTCTGATTTTGTGCCAAATAATCGTCATTTGCGGGAAGTGTTGCTTTTCTTCTTTCATTCGAAGAAAACGGCGGCTGAAGCGCATCGAGAACTCCAAAAAGTTTACTGCTCTTTAAGTTTGCCTTTAAGTTTGCTGCTCTAAGTGAAACAACGTGCCGTGATTGGTTCCGTCGCTTCAAAGACGGTGATTTCGATGTTGACGACCGTTCGCGTGAAAGAAGGCCAAAAACCTTCGAAGACGCTGAATTGGAGGCATTGCTCGATGAGGATCCGTGCCAAACGCAAAAAGAGCTTGCTTCAGCATTAGGAGTTACCCGCCAAGCCATTTCCAAACGATTGCATGCGTTGGGAATGATTCAAAAACAAGGAACTTGGGTTCCTTATGATTTGAAGCCAAGAGACGTTGAGCGTCGTTTTTTCGCCTGTGAACAACTGCTCCAGCGGCAGAAAAGGAAGAGTTTTCTTCATCGCATCGTTACGGGTGATGAAAAATGGATTCATTACAGCAACCCAAAGAGAACAAAATCATGGGGACTGCCCGGTCATGCTTCTACGTCGTCGGCTCGGCCGAATATTTACGCTGCGAAGGTTTTGCTGTGTATTTGGTGGGACCAGGGCGGTGTTATTTATTATGAGCTGTTGAAACCGAACGAAACCATCATTGGGGAACGGTATCGAGCTCAATTGATGCGATTGAGCCGAGCACTGCGCGAAAAGCGGCCACAATACGAGCAGAGGCACGAAAAAGTGATTCTACAGCATGACAACGCTCGGCCTCACGTTGCCAAACCCGTTAAAACCTACTTAGAAACGCTCAAATGGGAAGTCCTACCCGTCATATTCCCCAGATATTGCGCAGTCCGATTATTACTTGTTCCGTTCGATGGCACATGGTCTGGCTAATCAGCAGTTCCGCTCATATGAAGACATCTCAAAATGGCTTGATTCGTGGATAGCCTCAAAAGACGAACACTTCTACCGTGACACGGTATTCGAGCTCTGCCAGAAAGATGGGAAAAAGTTGTCACTAGCGATGGGCAATATTT